TTGAAAAAGATTTCTATGGCCTCTTTCTCACTGATCCTGTGCAGATCCAGCAGCTCTTGGATGGTTTCTGTGGGCAGCTGCACCTTCTGTCCCATCTCTTTGTCATAATGTTCGATGGCCTTTTTCACTGCAGCTGAGTTCTCTAGCTGAGCTAAGGTCGAGACTGCATTCTCCATGCACGGCAGGTCTCCGCTGCTTATGGCTTCTACATAAGTCAGCACTAGCTTCTCTAGACCTTTCAATGGGGAGCACATGATGAAATATACTTTAGAGTTAAGAGATTTCTCCCTTCTGTATAATTATGAGATGGTCTATGACCAGTTGTTCACATTTTCAATGGCACGAGCATCATTCACAAGCCTGGTACTCTGACCTACTGAAATATAACTTTATTCTTTAAGGAAACCCAGACATACTATGCAAAGGAGAGAGTGAAAGTCCTTGCTGCAGATAAGGTAGACCTGTTTATATTGTGCATGAATCTATCAGGCCCCTAACACCTTTAGGCTAAGAATATCATGTCTTTGTATCTATAATCAGTCTTCTGAATCATATCCATGGCAAGCATTTGATGAAATATGTATGGGATAAATAATAGAGTTCTTACTTGGTTCATTCGAGCTCAGTTTTGTCTTATAGAACTTTCTGTGGTAAACCAATTGTTCAGTGTCTCTACTTTCAATGATAGTTCTAACCATTAAAAATACCTGTTGATTCCAGGAAGTAAGTCCATATAATCTGGTTTTAACTGGACTTAATTTTATTTAAACTTAAATTATTGCACCTGCATCTGATGGCCATGGAAATAACAGCAGTCAAATTTGGTGCAACAGTATTAAGAACAGAGCCACTTAAACTTGGTTTTTTTTCTCTTTTCCACATAAGACATTTGGTTAATGAAAAATATTAGATTTTAGATGAATTGTGTCAAATTTAACATAAACACCTTTGGCCCCTATACTTCTGAAAGCAGAAAATAAATGAGCATGTCATCCTCCCTCTGCCTTGCAGGGAGTGAGGACTGGGAAGGAGACTCACGTGAGCCGTTGACCTTGAGGCCTCCCGGCAGAGTTTTAACCTTGGAACTGCTACTGATGTAGCAACAGAATTCTGCCACTTGCTGCAAAAACTCAGAATCGATCTCGTTTTCTTGCAGGGTCTCGAGCTCACGGAGTTTCTTCCACTCGGTGGGTGGATAGAAGACAAAGCATTTCTTCTTCGGGAAGAACTTTCGAATACAGAGTCGGGGCAGGTTGTATTTTTCAACTTCTTCACAGGTACCTGGAGAAACACCTTTTTAAATGGGTGTGAACAGCTAGCAGAAGGGTTAGTGCGCCATTTATGAATCTCTTCAAACAAATGTTCCCTCTACCCCTAGTCTTCAGCCATGCGGAGCTTCCCGGACCAAAGGAAGGAGAGGAAAGCAATCTAATAACAGATTCCAAAACGGAAAGCCAAGAAACAACTTAATGAGATTAATATTGATTCTATTAAACAAGAAACTAAACAAGAATTATTTCTTAGTAATAACCAGGAGCAATAAACAAAAAGCAATATAAGAGGTTGCACAAAAATTAATTATTGGAATTTTTTCCTCTGTTTTCCAATCACCAATCATGGTACCTTCATTGAGCTTCAAGGAATTCTCCAGGTACTGATCTGCTGTGAGTAACTGTCCATCTATTTCTAGCTTCAGGGTCATATCTCTCAGAGTCCAGACAAAGTCAGGGAAGAAGCTGACAAAGTTGGCAGAGTCCTCCACCGCATCGCAGCCAGGGGAGGATTTGGATCTGATACGTTTTGTCAGCTCTGTCACATAGCTGAGTAGCTAAGGAAAAGTGATTAGATGAACAGGGTCCCTGATCCTCTCACCTCATATTAGTCTCATCTATTCCCACAAGGATTTTGCTGTTTTGACTCATGCCAATTTATTAGTAGGTATACAGGATCCCCCACATGCACACCTTGCATTTGGTTTATTTTGAGTGTCTTTTGATATATTGACTCCTCCATTCACAGGCTAGGATGTTCTGCACCACAGAAAGGATACTGCAGTTGGTCCATGGCCTGCTGGTTGATGGCTCCCATGCTATTGTACACAAAGGTACTGCTCAAAAGTACTGTCAAGGCAAAGATCCAGCAGTCGTTCTGGTTGTCACCCTGAAAGTCAGAATACATGTGGGTCAGGGGTGTGTTTTGTTCCTGTGTCACTTTCCAGTTGAGCAGTGGCAAAACTGTGCTCATTTAACTAGAATTTTCCTAGAGTACTTAATAACTTCTACCAGTTTAAATCTAAACAAAATAATTATGGATTCTACTTGAACTTTGAATACTTTTAGTAGTATATGCAGCTTACACTCATTCTCATGAGACATTCTTATGATCATTGGTGGGTAATTACAAAAAGGGCAGTGCACGTTGGTAGATATTCTAAGAATGCAAATATATTTTAGATTTAGATATTTATCTTGTTTTTTTCATAGCAATGTTGACTTGCATGGAGATATAATATTTGTAGCTATTTTATCTCACAGTTCTTTTTTCTAGTGCTAGAAATGGAAACCAGGACGTGCACAGCTAGTCGAGCACTGTGAGTGAGTCACGTGCTCAGTCCTGGCAGCTATCTTGTTCTTTAATTAGTTACTTCAGTTATATCAAAGCACTGCCACAAGGCAAATATGTAATTATATAATCCCATTCGGTATGGATCAGTAAGCCGAACTAAAAGAAATTTTAAATTTGCTTAAGACTCTTAACAGCAAAGTTTCTGTTCACACACAATCATCAGGTTTCTGTCAAATAAGACCCATGACACTGAGTTTACTTTTGATACTTTTATAATGTTGGGTGTTTTGCCCAGCTTACAACTGGGCATTAGTAATTTAAATACGGAGAACCAACCATCCTGCTCTTCTATGATTCCATTTTCTGAACATTTTCCTTATATAGTAGCTACATTTAGCCAAAAGATATGCAATGAAAAATGAAAAAGATCTATCCTGCTTAGCTGGTCAGAACCCATCAGATGCCATCTTCCTTCTCTGGGACTAGACTTCTTCTTGCTAATGGAGAGCTCCCAATGAGCCTATCCAAAAACCAGCTAAAGGTAGGCGATGAACACCCTCGCAAGCTAATCAAATACTTACCTACTCAGTTGTCATCTTTAGGCTCCCGAGCTAAGCCTGGAAAGCTCTGTTCCAAATTCAAATTAGACTGGTCAGCTAGCTAAAACCAGGCCAACCTGCTGTCATCTCTCCACTCACAGTCCTAACTGAGATTACCTCACCCATGGGACCAACCTGGAACCATCCCATTCCTCCAATAAAAAAAATCAAAGGTGAGAACCTGGAGCACAGACCAACTAATTATACACATCTGATCAGAAAGTAAACAAACTACAACAACAATAAAAACAGAACCAAACTTCAACTCAGCAAAGGCAGGCTAGAACTAGAACTTCATATCAGACACACAACCAGCAAAAGAAGTCCATGAACCCAGGTCACACTGCAAAAACACTAGTAATATGAAAAACCAGGATAATATGTTCTCACCGAACCCCAACAGTCCAGTAAAAGTGTTCTACAATGAGAACTATCAGAAGAATCCCAGGATAGAGAACGTAAAATAACAATCATAAACATGATCAAAGGATTCAAAGATCTGTGTGTGTGTGTGTGTGTGTGTGTGTGTGTGTGTGTGTGTGTTTGACAGGGTTTCCCCCGTCCCAGCACACCTGGAAGTCACTATATGGACCAGGTTAGCCTCTGATTCACAGAGATCTGCCTGCCTCTGCCTCCTGAAGACTGGGATTAAAGGCATGGACTACCACACCCCGAATGGAAGTCAAGGATCTAAAGAACACACAAACAACTCAGAGAACGCAAGGGGAATAGGAATAAATTCCTGACTGAAGCTCAAGAAAATACAAATACACAGCTGCACGAAATGACGAAGACAACTCAGGATTTGAAAGAGCGAATTCATAAAAGGGATAGAAATATTGACGAAAACTCAAGTTGAAATGAAGATGAATTGAAAAACTCAAGAAGCCAATTTGAAATAACAGGGGGAAGCCTCACCAACAGAATGAATGAATGGAAGAGAATAGGTGTCTATGCGACGCCCACCCTAAGTGACACATCTACAATGTAACTTCTACACCTAAGGCTAAGGGAACATAGTGGAACAGGGGTCGAAAGAATATTAATGCATCTTTCAACCCTCACCAGTGACGTGCAACAAATGGTGATTAACCATGAAAGCCACAGCTAGCCAAAGTGCAGAAAATAAGAGACTGCAGAATGTTATCCTTGAATAGAACACTATTTCCAACTTCTGACACCCAAGGCTCAGGGACCATTGCAGGGGAAGGGGTAGAAAGACTATAAGAGCAAGAGGTGGTGGATGAAGGAAACAGATTTCCAGACATCTGGAATCACAGCAATGATTACAGGATACACAAGACCCAGGCAAACTCAAGCAGACAAAACCACAGCATAAAATGAGGATGTGGGTAAGCAGCCCCAGCCTTGGCTGAGGAACTGTTTGTAAACAGGAACTGCTGGGGGAGGGAGAGTTGGCTTTCTTTATGGGGTGACAGTACATAGATTAACCAAGATCCAATAGATGGTCCCACACCAAAGGATATTTAAGAATACAAAGTTGACTTGATAGGTCTTGATATATATGAAAGAGTACATGAAATGCAGGAGGGGGGAGTGCTGTAAGAAGGGTGCAGATGGGGGATGGAATCTAAATATGGTCAAAATATATTGTATGAAATTTGCAGAAATTCAAGTAATAAAAAGTAATCATTAAAATTAACTCAGATAAAAAATATCTGAAAATCCTTAAAATATCAGTTCTATTTCAGGTCACTGTAATCCATTGAGTTAAAGATTTAATACTGAGAGAAATGCCCAAAATGAAATTTGTTCTAGGGGAAGCATTCAAGAGATAATCAACCACTCTATCCACCCAAGAAGGAAGACCTGCCCCAGGCTGCCACTGCCCTGCCTCCCTCTCCTCCTCTGGTGCCAATCCCTTACACTGAAGAAAGAGCTAAAGACCTTGCTCGCAAACAGCATTCTTCCCAGAACAAGAAACTCCCAGTTCACCACTTCACCAAGCTCCAATACTTTGACTTAGGACCACCTAGGAGACATACCTCTGGGAGTGTCTATGAGGGCGTTCCAGAGTAGATTAACTGAGGAAGAAAGACCCACTCTGAATGTGGTCAGCACCATCACAGACTAGGCTGAGGTCATGAACTGAATAAAAAGACACAGTGGACTGAGCCCCAGTGTTAATCTCTCTCTGTTCTCTGACTGTGGATGCAATGTGACCAGCTGCCTTGTGGTCCTGCTGCCTGACCTTCCCTGTGTGGATGGACTATACACTAAAACTGAGCCAAAATAAACCATTTATTCTAAGAAAAGAAAGAAAGAAAGAAAGAAAAGGTGTGTTATGTTTAAATTCAAGCTTATATTGGTAAAATGTGAAGTGTAAGGAATTTTCATAGATTAGGGATTAAATTGAAAATGAATTCCCATTCTCACTTTCTCAACGTCTCCCAGGCCTTCTGTGTCAAGCAGAACTAGAGTGTGGTCTGACTTGTGGGGATGAGGCACACACCACATCCAGATTCCTTTGGTGTGAGACTGAACAGTAGAGCCAAGAGAGAAACCTGTAAATTATAGAAAAACAGAGAGATTTAGTAGCAGGTGCTAAAAGAAATTGAGTTAAAAATTAGCATCATCTGCATCTTAGCTCTGGAAATTGTTATTAAATATGTCAATGCCATTGTAATGAAATGCTTCTTCTAAGCTTGTGGTTATTAAATAATTATTTTAAAAAATTATCATCATTAAGGTCAGCAGAGGTAACTGAAACCAAAACTAGCATTAATATTACCAAAAATAATCACAATATTCAGTACCTGAAAATATTCAACATATTATGATTTTTAAAAAATCACATTTAACAAATTAGAAGTAAAAGAAAATTATCTCGGTGGAATAAGGGCCATATTTTGAAAATCCATACTAACATCCCATTCAATTACTAAAGATAGAAAGCTTTTATTCTAAGATCAGAAAATGAAAAAAAGGTGCATATTTTGGACATTATTATTCAACTTGGCACTGGAAGTGTTATCCAAAGTAATTAGTCAAGAAAAGAAAATGGCAGAAACCCAAATAGGAATGGAAGAAGTAAAATTATCCTGTTTATAGATGGCATGACCTTAATGTAGAAAACCTCAAATATGTATCCTAAAATAGATAAAATAAACAAATCCAACAAAGCTACAGCATACAAATTCAGCATATAAATCATCTTTATGTGCTGGGCGTGGTGGCACACACCTTTAATCCCAGCACTTGGGAGGCAGAGGTAGGAGGATCTCTGTGAGTTGGAGGCCAGCCTGGTCTACATAGTAAGTTCCAGGCCAGCTGGGGCTACAGAGAGACCCTGACTCAAAAAGACCAAAAAAAATCACCTTTATGAATTCTATAATTGGTTCCTTTTCTATACGGCAATAATGAATAACCTGTATAAGAAATTAAGGAAGCTATAATCCTATTTGCAACATCAAAAGAATGAACTACTCAGGATTATACTTCAACAAGAGGGTAAAAATCTGTGTAGTGAAAAGCATAACTTGTTGAAGAAATTATAGAAGACACAGTCAAATACATATCTAGTGTTTATGGCTTGGAAGAATAGTAATCTTAGAATATCAGTACCATTGAAGTGATAAATGCTCTTTCTTTTTGTGCTGGGGAATCTTGCTAGGTTACCCAAGCTGTTCCTGAACTTGGGGGCTCAAATGATCTTCCCACTTCAGCCTCCCAAGTACTGGGACTTCTGCCCTGAACCACACTCTTTGCTCTCCTTATATTTGTGTAGTCAAATCAAAGAAATAGGTTGTAGAGTGGTGGTGGGAATGGTCAAATGGAGAACTACTGAATAGTGGTTACTTAGTTTATGCTGCAGAACATGGAAAGTGCCTGGAAATGAATTGATTTGATGATTATACAATGAAGAAAATTTACTTAATGCAACAGAATTGTGTGCTTTAAAATGGTCATGAGTTAAGTCTTTGTTAATTATATTTATGATATTAAAAATCAAACTCAAAAAAATTGAAATCATTTTAATCTTAAAATCAATAGTAACTTGTTGTTACAACATCAACTTTTCAATAAATGCTTTACAGTTTATTACAGGCTGTGATATAAATTAGCTGTCCTTACTAATGCCTCTTTCTCTCTACAATAGAAATGATTTACGTTTTTGAAAAAGAATCTAAGACAGAGTAAGGCCTGCTTTTGAGCTGACTTACCCCTGGAACAGAATGAAGATTTAAAAACCTAACTTTGAATGGGAGGTAACCTTCCAGTATTCATCTCTTTCTCTAACTTCCTCTCCTCATACCCTATGCTGGAAGCTGACACTGCTGGTGGACAAAGACCTAGCACAGCTCTGCTGGTGGTACTCACCTGTTTTCTTCCCAGCCAGTTTGTTCATCAGGTAGGATTTTCCCGTGCGGTAGAAACCCACGATGGCCACCACCACCACAGGCTGAGTGATGGCTGACAGGATCTCCAGGGCTTCCTGGTTAGGTCTCAGATGTCCTTTGACATTCTCAATGAGGCACATGGGTTCTGGCATGTGGAGCTCTAAGGCCATGTCCTCTGGGACCTCTTGACTACAAGGGAAGAGATGTAATCAGAAATCTCTTCTCTCAGAAGGGGGGTGGAGCTATACAGTCCTCCAACATGAACAAACATTGTACAAGTGGCAATGACAAGGTAAGGAAAAATCTGTGCCATTTTAGAAGGTTATGGAAATATTATCAATGTCTTTGAAAAAAATGTCAATGTAACAATGAATTATCAGCAGTCAACTACTCTTACAACCCAAATTCTCCTTTTAGCTTGTGAAAGAAATTTTTCCTTTTGTATTCTTATTTTAAAATTTATACTAGATATCAAGTGGCCAAGGAAGTTTACAAAAATTAATTTTAAAATTCTAGAAATATAGAGAATTTTCCTTTTCAAAAATAGAATTTCTCTAAATATAGGATCAAATTAATTTTTTATCAAAGACAAATGCACAAAATTCAATATAGATTATTATTTCCTTATTTCTTACAATGAATACTCTCATAAATAAAAACTCAGTTTTTTTAATGACTGTCCTTGGATAATTTGCACAGGTATTTAGTATTTTCCTTCCTCCTCTACCCAAGCTCTTATGAATATTTTATAACACTGCTATTTCATAACACTGCTGTTCCCAAAGTGGAACCAATACAACTTATTTCTGCAAGTTTTATGGATTGATGATCGTGGGAACACATGACTAGAGGCTCTTTCAAAGACTTTGAAACTGTGAATGAGGCTCCCAAAAGAGAAAAGGCCGCCCCTAAGTTAAATATTCTACAAGGCTGACTGACTGATACAAACTGGTGATTGTAGGGAGCTAGAATGTCACTGGTGTGGAACCAAATTATCATGGCTGTCTTATGGCCATCCTAGCCCTCTAGATAGCAATTCATTGTCTGCCTCCAACCATTGACCTACATCCTTATAAATATTTGGAATGTACCGAATCGTAGCTTCCCCCAAACCCCAAATCTTAGAATGTCATCAGATAGCATTTGAGGTCCAGAGCTGAGGTATCCTACTGTGCTGTAACCTGATACTTCACCAGTGTATTTGAAAGTGTCATTTATGATTTTCTCTGTTCTGTTCTTACAAAGACTTCATGCTCTGCTTCCCTGGGCTGCACACCCTCCAGTCTCTTTTCTGGATACTGGGTCTGACCTCTAGGCCCAGAACCACCACTGCTTCCTGACCCCTTGCATCCAGAGAAACCCAGTTCCTTCTGGAAATCTCCAGGAGCCCTCTGGGCCTGGTCCCACCCTCAACTCCCTCTGCTTCCCTGGGCTTACACATCCCTCTGTCCTCTCTCCTGGATAAGTCTAGTGCACCCTATGCTCCTTGACTGCCCCAGCTGCATTCACCCTCCCATCTCCCCAAGCCATCTCTCCTCCTAGCCTGGGTACTGTCCCATTCCTTCTCTTGGCACCCCAAACATGGTGGGGACCACCGTTGCTTCCTGATCCTTTGCATCCAGACCAACCCAGTTCCTTTTCACAGTACCCAGGAGCCCTCTGGGCCTGGTCCCGCCCCCACCTCCCTCTGCTTCCCTGGGTTGCACAACCCGCCAACCTCTTTCTTGGACTCCAGGGCTGACCTCTGTGCTTCCTGATCCTTTATATCCAGACCAACCCCGTTCCTTCCTGTAGTCCCCAGGAGCCCTTGGCACCTCTTCCCGCCCGCATCTCCCTCTGGATCTCTGGGTGGCTTGGCAACGAGCTGCCTGAGACCAGCATCTCTCCTGGGCCCTGCTCCCAGGCCAGTCAAACCCCCAAATTCCTGAGGACAACATCTTTCCTGGAGTGATCCAGACCTTAGGAGAAAGCCTGAGAGCATCTGATCCTCATCTGACTTGGGCCTCTCTGGGAACTCCTGAAGACAAAAGCAATCTGGCAACCGGAAGCTTAGACAAAGTAGCTTTTCATGCCCAAAAAGTAAACCACAAAGACACATAAGATTCAAAAAAGAAGAATACCTAAACTTGAAGGCCTGAGTCTGACACAAGAATCAGAAACTACAAAAGAAACTCACATGTCAAAATCACAGAGAAAAAATAACAGGAAAAACCAAAATAGCATATCCCCACCAAATATCAACTGTCCTCTAGAGGAGTAAAATGAGAACTCCCTAGAGATAATGCAGGACATGGAACTCAAAAAAACAATTATGAACATGACAAAAGAATTCAGTGAATTTAAAGAACACACAAAGAAATCAAAGAACTGAAGGAAGATAGAGATAAAATTCTGAATGAATTCAGAAAAGAGCTAGAAATATTGAAGGCTACCCAGGCTGAAATGAAGAAGGAAGTGAAACACTCAGCCAATTAGAAACAGCAAGAGAAAGCCTCACCAATAGGATAAATGAAATGGAAAACAGAATATCAAGACTGGAAGATAAAGTGGACGAACTAGGCCACTCAAGCAAAGATTATGAAAACTTTAAGAAAGAACAAAAATTGAAAATGCAAGAATTGAGTGACACTGTAAAAAGACCAAACTTATGATTCACAGGTATACAGGAAGGAGAAGAATCCCAAGATAATGACACGGACCGGATCCTCAACAGAATCATAGAAGAAAATTTCCCAAAATTAAAGAAAGACATGCCCACACAAATACAAGAAGAATATAGAACACCAAACAGACAGGACCAGAAAAGAAACTCACATCACAGCACATCATAGTAAAAACACTAAATGTACAGAATAAAAGGCAATACTGAAAGCTGCAAAAGAGAAACAACAAGTCACATATAAAGGAAAACCCATTAGGATTACAGCTGACTTTTCATTGCTAACTAGGAAAGCCAAAAGAGCCTGGACCAAAGTATTCCCAGTTTTAAGTGCTCACAGATGCCAACCCACATTACTATACCCAAACAAAGTGTCTATTGTATTCGAAAGGGAAAGAAAAATCTTCCATGACATAAATAGGCTGAAGGAATTCATGTCCGCAAAACCAGCCCTTCAGAGAGTTCTGGAAGCAATACAAAGAGCTGAAGAAAGGAATGACTATACCCAAGGGGTTGCGGAAAGAAATTCAATGACGGTATAACTGTGGAAAAATACAGCTATATCAAGAATATGAACAGAAACAAAAATGACAGGATTCAATGCACATCTTTCATTAATAACTTTAAATATAAACTGACTGAACTCCCCAGTCAAAAGACACAGACTAAGTGAATGGATTAAGAAAA